TCCCCCTTTTTTTTTTTTTTTTTTTTTTTAATGATTTCATTTTATTTTTTAAATATTTATCTTTATTGTTGAAAATATTACAAATGTCCCCCTTTTTTCCCCATTGACCCCCTCCACCCTGCACCCCCCCTCCAGGCCTTCACCACGCTATTGTCCGTTTCCCTGGGTTATGCATATACGCATACAAGTTCTCAGGTTTCTCTCCCCGCCCACCCCTGCCCACGCTGCCATTCTTTATCCTGCGGCATCTGTGTACGGCCTCTCCATACGTCAGCTCACTGGTGCCTACTTTTCAGTATTGTCCACACATATACTAGAAACATTATTAAGCCTTCCTAAGCTCTCCATTTAATCATATTATCTCTAATCGTGTATGGTTTATCATTATAAACATGAAAAAACAACCTTTTCTTCTTTCCTACATTTTACCTGCATGTGGTCACTCCTTTAACTTATATTCATCCTTTTATTCTGGCCTTTGAATGCAGTGACTCTCTGCATTCCTTCTCTGGGACCCTGCACACATTTGTTGCCTCCACCCAGTAATCACACTCAAAAGTGCCACAGCGTGGGGCTTGTTTGTATTCTGAATGTGCTGCTGAAAAGTTCCTCCAGTCTCCTGGATTCTGTACTGGAAGCCTTTCGTCTATGCCACACGTGGCCACAGTCTTCCTCTCACTGTCTGTGATCTTGATGTTCAGCTCCCAAGTGTCAGTACTATCCTACCACTCCCAAACACTCCCTTCTGCCCATTAAGAAACTTCTGGAAAGTCTTTTTTTCTTTTTTTTTTCTATTAGCTCTTCCCAAACATTCAGAAGGGACAGTATTGTAAATACTAGCTTCTTTCTTTGCACTGGTCTCTTGGTATATGTGACAAATACTTAGCTGCCTAGGTTACCTACATTAGGTTCATTTCTTAATTCTAGTTTATTCTTGACATTACCATTCATATTACACTTAAGGTTCTACATGGCAGGGCACTACCATGAAGTGCCTTATAAAAGACTTGGCATAAGACCAGGTATAACTAGGTGGTTAATATTACTTTAAAACCACTTAGAAAAATTACTGAAACATGGGCTATAAGAATTCTAAGCCATAAAATACGGCAGTCAGATACACTTCTAGTGATTATTTTCCCACTGTTTTCAAAAAAGACCTTTTGTTATTCTAAAAATAGTCTGATTTGGTTTTACCTTCCTATTGATTTCTATTCACTTCCTGCATAAAATGGGTCCCTTCCATGCTTGCTACTGGCGAGGTTCATAAAAAGAGCTGGCTCCCCCCGACCACAGCCCCCAAGCAAGTGGAATTAAAACTAATGAATTAGTTATGGGAAATGGATTTATTGCTCTTTTATAATTTTTATCCACTTCAAAGTATGCCTTCAGTCCAATGACTATCAATGTAATTAAACAATCTCATAATAACTTCAGGATAAACACTCAAGTTGGAAACTAAAAAGTAATGAAAGTGTAGGAAAATTATTTAAATGCAAAAATCTTCAACCCAGGAAAGTGGGTTTCAGACTACAGTGGGCCTAAAAAGCATCTCAGGTGCTCACTAAAAATGTCAATTCTTGCCCGGGCTGGGTGGCTCAGTTGGTTGGAGCTTCATCCTGTACACCAAAGAGGTTGAGGGCTGGATTCCGGGTCAGGACACACACCTAGGTTATGGGTTTGATCCCAGGTCAAGGTGCTTACAGGAGGCAACCAATCAATGTTTCTCTCTCACATCAATGTTTCTCTCTCTCTCTACCCCTTCCTCTAAAATCAATAAAAATCACATCCTTGGATGATTAAAAAAAAGAAAAAAGAGTCAATTTCTAGGCTCCACCTACAGACTTTCATTCTGGAGATTTGGAATATGGCCTAGAACCTGTGTTTTTTAATAAACCTCCTCGTGGTTCTAACACAGTGGGCTTGGGGACCACACTTTGAAAATCATTAATTCTAAGGAATCCACTCTCCTAAGATATAACCCAAATAACTACTAGGTTTTATAGGACGTTATTTTGAAACAGTGGGGAAGTTTAAGAAAACTGCCATCTATGCCCCAATCAAGAAAAAGAAAATCCAGTTAAATGGCTTATAAAACTTGAAATTAATGACAGAGGCAGATTAAAGCTCACATATATATACCCATAAAGAATATGACAGAAGCAGGTCAACTGGGAAGATATGATTATGCAATGAACAGGCTTACAGCCTGTATCTGCTCAGAGGATGGCCCTGGCTAGAAACAGAAAATGGAACAGCTTGAATGCATTAAAATGATATACCTTTATGCTGATATAGGATTTTAAATCACAAGTTTATAACAAATAGAAAACTGTGAGGCTGAAGAATTCATCCTTATGAAAAAAATTAAATTTTAGTCTTCTATGCCTGCCAAATCTTACAATTTCTAAATAGACTGCATTATAGCAAAAAATTACTATATATCATATACTCTAAATCATGACATTAGTATATCATAATCATATCACAAAATCCAGAATATTTAAAAATTTTGAGATCAGGAATGAACAAAAGATGAGTAGAGTTAAAATTTTTTCATAAGAACTCTTCATTTTCAGAATTTTCTATTTCTTATAAATTTGTAACTTAAAATTTTTACCAGCTTGACTGCCATTCTCCTGAAGCTCTCATTCTAGAACATACTGTGGACCCAGAGCATAAAAAGGTGGAAATATCCTTTATCATTTATATTTAGGGAAAGGAGGTGATGATACAATAATTATAATAGTTTGATAAAAACTTCTCTGCCTTGGGTGAATGTAAATTTTGTGGAAAGAGGGCATTTTAGTGTATTAAAACAATAAGGAATATAGATAAAAATACCAAATTATTATTTAAAAATTCCAATTTTTCCTTTCTCTCTTCCTTTATCTGCATGACTCACTTCATGTTGCAGTTGGAACCACTACCTGATCTGCATGACGAAAAGATCCTTTAAATCCCTCGTTCTGACTGTCCCTTTAGCTTTCTTCCCTTAGAGAAAGGAAGTGTAGGAGACAGGGTAAGTGGAAAGTTAAGGGGGAAAAATTCTAATAACAAAAGAAAAGTGACTGTTTACACACCCTTTCTTGTACCAGTATTATGACTTACTGTGGAACATTTAACATATTTTCAAAGTGCTTTGTAATTATAAACCACCCAAATACAAAACAGCACTTCATTAGTTAGATGAATACAAGGACTTTAGGCAAACAAATGTTAGAAGGTACATTCAGCACATCTGCCTTTAAGAACTCCACAAAAAGATTCTTAGAATACAGTCATTATCTTAAATTTTTTATTAGGACTCTTTGGAACAAAAAGAATGTTTTCACCTACTTATCATAGCTGTCCCTGGTTTCAATCCGATTTATTTCTATCAGACTATTCATTATCAAGTTTCTGGTTAGTGAATACGTCGAATTTCTCAAAAGATGTGATTGTTGCAATGAACAACCAACAAACTCTCTAATATCTAGAAGTATAGTGACTTTTTTCTTCTTTTGTGGTATATTCTAGTATTAAACCATTTCAAACTGCTCAGTACTAATTACTTATTAATAGTGGGAGTATTTTAATATTTTACACATTCAAAGGCACTAGAAATATCTCTCCTCTCTGTTAATAGTAAGCTGTTGAAAACTTCAACAGGAATATTCTTATTAATAAACTGGTCATAAATTTATTCAACTGAAATTAGTTGTTCAGGAAAATTAATCTAGATTTTATTGATAAAGATAAATTGCTTTTAAACACTAACTAGTTATTTAAAATTATAAAGATTACCCATGCTTATGGTAAAAGCAAGAGGGTTAAAAATAAAAAATAAAAAAAGGGTTGAAAATAAAATTTAAAAATTCCTCTTTCTCAACCCCCCAACACTGCAATGCCTTTTCTGAAGGTATTTACTGTTATCTCTTGTGCTCTTCCCAAATTTTTCCACACACCTATATATACATAACTTTTTAAAAACAAGTATGACTTGTCTCACTAATGCCTCACTAATGAAAGCTGAGACATATTTATTCTGCTTCATTCTATTTAACAGCTGCTTAGTATTTAAAGGTATGGCTATGCCCTGAGTGATTTAATCACCTCTTCATAAACGGATAAATTATGCTGCTTCTAGTTTTCTGCTATTACAAATGATATTATAATGAACTTTCATATAATACATGCATTTTCATCTCCTGCATATGCTGAATAAATTTCTATAAGTAAAATTAGGAGGTTAAAGAGTAAGCACATTTTAAATTTTATAAAGACAAAAAGTACCTTCCTAAAGGGTTGTAGCCAATTTATATTTCTTACAAACTGTGTACATATTGCTAGTGCAAGGTATTATTAAACTTTTAAAATCTTTGCTACTCTGAACACGTGAAATATACCTCATTTTAATTTGCATTTAATTGTTAGTAAGATCTAGCACCGGTCTAATACTTATTAGCTAGTTGTATTTCAATTTTGTGAGCTGCTCATGCAATTGTTTTATCCACTAGATAATATGCATTTCTTAACTTGCCCTTAGGGACCAAGAAAAGAGGCCGTCACTAGACAGTAAACATTAGTCTGACTTGTTATTCCATTTCTAAACTATGAAATGACGATTACTTCTAGCTTCGCTTTTATACTTTTGTGGCAGGTGGGCTTAATATAACACTAAAAATTAAGTTTGGAACTTTTAAATGATTATCAATTGGAGCATCACTTGATTAAATCACATTTCACATCTGTGTACAGGCAAAGGTATAGGTCAAAAGTCATAGTCCTTTATTGCTGAGTTGTGATAATTAAAAATAAGATCTAAGCTAGCCTAACTCACCAAAGATAAAATTTGAGATATCTTACTGTTTTTCAAAACACTGTATTCCCACCAGCCATGTATGTGCTACCAGTTCAGACAACCCATTCTTTGAAAATCTTCACATTTTCACATATAATAATCCAAAAGAACTTACTTCGAATCTGTTTTTTAATTTCCTTAGCAGGGTCCAACCAATTCTGAAAAAGAGATGATAGCTTGAATTTGAATCAGAGAAGAGTAAAAATGTTGACCAGGTAGAGACACACACTCAGTGTATTTGAGAGTGAGTGGTTGCTGGGAGACCCTCCAAGCTGGGTCCTTCCCCCACATCTGGTGCCCCTTTGCCAGGTCCTGCCAAGGTCCAGGCACTGGTCTAATGAGAAAATGTGGTGTCCACAATTCACTCTAACAAAATTCTTTTCTTTTACAATCAATGCCTTCAGGGATTTAAACTGGCAGAGAAAGAGTAGATAAAAACAAAAACCAGTAGATTTTATGTTCAAACAAATTACTAGAATAAACTAAATATACCTGTAATCTGACACAATGATGTCCTAGCCATTCAGTCCCACAGAGTGGCTTCTGTGATTACAAATTCTCAGGCACCTACTTAGAAAACTTTCCTAACAAATGAATGCTTGCTTGAGATTTATGATTTTTTTCATCATAGGACTCAGATGTCTAATAATAAAGTTAGACAATGTCCAGTGAATCTAGTAGATATTAAGTATGATTCATTGCACAACACCAAAACATGTAACATCTGTGAATAAAATTTCTGTAACTCAGTCTCCAGCACCAATACAATGGAAACAATTTCTTTTTCCTTATTTTTCAGGTAGTAGTGGGGATTAATGAGATAAAGCTCTGAGAGACTACATTATTCAGTTATAAGAGTCTACAGAGGTATTACATTAAACATTAAATACCTACTAACTACATGAGACAAGTGTTGGTTCAGCCAACAAATCATCTCATATTCTGATCTGGCAAGAACATGAAAACATAGTAAGATGAATTAAGAATGGGAGAGCAGCCTTGAACATGGTTTCTATATAAGTATCAATGCATTTGATTTTCATTGGCTCATTGCCACTGAAATATATCATCAAAAAAAGCACCATATAAAATGCTTTCCTGGAATCATAAATAATTGAAGCGTGAAAAAGAGAAACATGGACTTATGGTTTCCACAATACTCAAGATTAAAGGAAGCTGTTGATAATTCCATTATGAAGAAATAAAGTGAGTAACAGCATTTAGGGACTCACGGTAGTAAATGCGGGAGTGTGAGGGGAGGTGGAGGAAAGATTTTCTCATTCAGATCTAGTTCGCTTTCTGGCAGTAATGAGCAGCTCAAGCCCTAATGTTTTGTACTGCTTTTAATTACTCACCTTCTGGTTTTCAGCATCTCGATATGTAAGCCCAAAGTAGTCTTTTTCTAGCAAGTTCAGATGTTCACATACTTTATCAAACAGCACTTGGCCTCTGGAGCGTTTCTATGGAAAACAAAACATGAAAAGAAGTCAACTCATTCAACAAAGTTCCCTCAATCGCCATGAATAAAAATAGGTAAAATTTAAAATACCGTTTGCTGTAACTATACAGTAAGTGATGGATGATCAAGTGTGATCACACGCCCACTTCCTTTTTAACTAGTACAAAGGCTCAATAAAGTGGACTTAAACCTGCAAAAACCTGCCCCTACTAACAAATATGCAAGAAATCACTAGCGTCCCTGAGTAAGTACAGCTAACCTGCGGATGATTTCTAACAGAAGTAGCTGGGAAGTGATGTGGTGCTTGGAGGCCCCAAATACCTTGTGAAATATAAAAATCCTGATAGTAAAAGAGAATATTCAAGGACCAAGAAAAATCATGTTTCAACATGTGCAAACTCAATTCCCCATATTATCAGGTACTGAGCATGAAAAGAATTAACACTATTCCTTGTCTTAGATCTCCCCTTAAAACTTTCTCTACTAATCCTTACTTTAAAATTCTGGCTATGAATCACTTTCTAAAGACCGTTAAACTAACTTCATTAGTTTATTTTTGGTTTTTGCCCTAAACCTCAGTTTTGTATTATAGTAAACAACTTTCTCTTAATTTCTTTTAGAGAAAATCCCTCCTATTAAACATAACAGAATGTTCGTTAAGTTTAAAGATTTTAGTTATCATTTATAAATATAAGATATAAATAGATGCTATATTTTTTGGCCATTAAGCAGTCATTTGGAGAAAGGAAAAAGGCAGTCATCTGGGAGGAAAAATCCATCAGTTTAATTTACTGTGATACACAATTATCGTATTTTCATCTAATCCTTCAAAGGTCTTTCAACATGGCCTTGAATTCTAAAATGGATTAACTGGAAACAATTAAGCTAAACTATTCTTGTGTACCAAGATTTCTCATCTAATATATTGAGCATATTTGTCTTTAAGAGTTAATGTATTAATAATGACAAATATGAAAATTGATAAACAATGTACATGCCAAAAAAATAAGTATGTATTCAGAAGACCCCTAAGTGGTATGTATTACTGTGTAACCATAATTATATTGGAAATTAGTTACTCATTCCCCTCAAACATGACTATTTAGGAAAAAGATAAATTTATGACAGAAAAGTAAAGCTTGAATTGTAGCTAGCTAAATAATGATGTATTTTTAAAAAGTTTAAGAATGTATGAAAGTAAATTACATGTTAGCAAAACTACATAATAACATTGCTCAATGGAGAGAAATAAGTGGTATGAAATGAAATGCTGCTCACCAGGTTAAATCTTATTTACAGATAATAGCATGTCATTTCTGAATAATGCTCAACAATTTATAAAGTTTTCACAAAAAAATGGTTCTTCCAATGCTTCTATTGGTATTATCTCCAGTTATCAGGTAAGAACACAGAGGTTCAGAGAAGTGAGATGAGAGAGGCAGTTTTAAGTAGTGGCCATGAGCTTTAGCGGGTAACTCTGGGTTTGGATGTTCATTAAGTCCCCTGCAGCTAAACGTGTATGATACTGTCTACTTCTCTGGAATGACTGACATTAAAATAAAACAATGTACTCACATCTGGTCCAGTAACGGCACATATAAACCATTCCACAAACATGAGCTATTATACCCAAGTGACTGACAAATGGTAGAACGGGTTATGTCGAACTAGGCATTTTTGCTGTTGGAGCACATATACCACTTCTTGTGGTGTCAATAAGCTCTTTATTTAGCTATCAATTATCTTACTACTTAATTTGCTTTAGCTAGACCACAATATTTACACACATACCACACAAACACACATCAGTGTTTGGCCAAATATTTTCTCAATGAGTAAAAACAAACAAAACAAATACAAATAAATAAGCATTTCTCTCATCTCCACAATGGAGGAATTTTTTTTTTTAATATGTCACCAGCATTGTTTTAATTAGCTGTCTTCTGGCTGCTGCGTTTCTCCTTTTGTCTAAAAGGTGACATGCGTTAGATCAAGCACAGACCACTATACTATGTGGCTCTTAGTTTTCTGGCTTCTCTCAATTCTGTTTCTATTAATGACTCATAGCTACCTCTTGACTAGAACAGATTTTTTCTTACTGAATATTTTAAACACATTTTAAACACTATAAACCGTTAAGGCAATCTCTTAGTGGTCCATTCTTCACACCGAAAATGTTTTTTGGATGGTTATATATAATCAATGAAATCCCTACCTGCTAGATATCACCACCACAATCAGCAGCGAGCTAGCTGGATGACATTAGAAAAGACTTTCAAATTATTTGGGCCTTTATTTTCTCATCTTTGAGTGAGGATGTAAGACTCTAAGGAGCAAGATGATCATGGGCTTGAGGCTATAACTATGCTCCCTTTGCTCTTGACAAACATTACTAATGATCATAGCGCTCTTTCCCATGGAGCCCGGATGTAGCTTCAGCACCCTTCTGCACACTGTGATGAGAAAGATGCTGCCAATGAATGGGGGACAGGGAATTGGGACTATTTTCCAGCCCTGGACTGAATCCCCTCTGCAATCACTCCCTACTCCCAAGAATTCTTGATTCTGTTGACTCGGATGATTTTTTTCCTAGCACATGATTCAACTTGTCAAGTCACTTATTTGTACTTGTTGACATACTTGTGTATCTTTAGGTAATAACATCTAATATATGACTAAAGTAAGCAATCAGACTGGTTCCCAAAGACATGATGTTCATTAAGTGATCTAGGACCCTTACGTAATGCCATTTGGTGGGATTACATACAGCTGTAATGAGTAAAAAACTGAGATTAAAAAAATTGATAGAGGTATTCTAAATCCATGAATAATTTACCTAACCAGAGTAGGTTAACATTTCTTAGGCTTGTTTACTGTTTCTTATGAATTGTTAAGTCATGTCTACAACTCAAAGGCATTCGTAGTTCATGTAACTATACTCACTTTTAACACCCAAACCTGAAAGGTTAGCTTTGCTTTTCTGGGATAACAAAACAATGGTGGACTGTCCTCTTGTGCCCTTTATCCCACTGAAAAATTGCATTTCTGTTTCTGATAGAGTCAATGAGGATACTGCAGCTCAACAATCTGAAAGACCTTATATATCCTAAGAATAATAAACTCCTAAAAGTTTAAACAACTTTCAGTTTTAACTATTTCAATTTGCTCTTTATTTTAAATAAAAAATCTTCCAAATTGACTCATGAAATTGTTGGGTGTTAAAAGAAGTGTGTCAAAAGAGAAAAACTTTAAGACAATAAAAAGATAAGCCACAGGCTGGGAGAAAATATTTGTACTGTCATGCCTAATAAAGGACTTGTATCCAAAACACACAAAGAACTCTTAAAATTTAACAATAAGAAAACAATCAAATTAAAAAATGGGCAAAAGATCTAAAAAGACATCTCACTAAAGGAGATGTCAAATAAGCACGTGAAAGATGTTTAATATCAACCCTGGCCGGGTAGCTCAGTGGGTTAGAGTGTCATGCTGATTTACCAAGGTTCCATTTCCAGTCAGGGTACACACAAGAAGCAACCAACAAATAGCATAAATAAGTGGAAAAACAAATCAATGATTTTCTCTCTCTCCCTATCCCTCCCTCTCTCTCTCAAATCAATAAATTAAAATTTTTTTTAACAGATCAACATCATATTTTATTAGAAAAATTGAAAATTAAAACAAGATACCATTACACATCTATTAGAATGGCTAAAATTCAAAACACAGACGACACTAAATGCTGATAAAGATGTGGAGCAATAGGAACTCTTATTCCTTGCTGGTAGAAATGCAAAATGGTGCAGCCACTTTGGAAGACAGTCTAGCAGTTTCTTACAAAACTAAACACATTCTTACTATATGATCTAGCCATCATGTTCTTTGAGATTTACACAAAGGAGTTGAAAATTTATGTACACACAAAAAATTTGCACACAAATGTTTATAGCAGCCTATTCAACATTGACAAAACATGGAAACAATTAAGATGTCCTTCATTAGATGTACAGATAAACTGTGGTACAATCCAGACAATGGAATATTACCTGGCACTAAAATGAAATGAGCTATCAAGTTCACAAAAAGAAATGGAGGAACCTCAAATGCATATTACTAAGTGAAATACGCCAATCTGAAAAGGCTACAAACAGTATTATTCCAACTATATGACATTCTGGAAAAGGAAAAACTGTGGAGACAATAGGAACTTTCTGCTCAAATTTCTGTAAACCTAAAATTGCTCAAAAAGTCTATTAATTAAAAAGGGAAATACTGACAAAAATATTTACTGTCTTCTTTTAAATTAATAATTTTTAAATACTTTAAAAGTTAATAAAGTTAAACTCCAAATGATTTTATTACTTTACTTAAGATTTTTATTAAGAGTAAACATTTTAGAAAATTAAAAAATCGTCAGTCACAACACATACAACCCCTAGGATAGGATGCGGTCCTCCTCCATCCCAGGTACACCCCCCACCCCTGCGAGCGAAGCCAAGATGGTCTGGTAAGGAACAAAACCAGGGCGACAGATCAAAGTGATTTCTCGCAAGCTACACTGCCCAACTAGGTAATTCAAACTACAAACAATTGAAATGATGCCTTCATTAGCTAAGGTTCAGAAGCTTTCTTTGGACTAAATTCAAGAGGATATGTCCATTATCACCACTCAAATGCAGCAGATCATATAAGCTTTTCTGCAGCATTAATGAAACTTCCCACAGGTCAAAGGTCACTCAAGATTTTTACAATAATGTTTGCAAAACACTGGCTCTCAATGCATGGCTCATTAACCAGCACCTCCTGGAAAGTCTGTATTAAAATTTTTATTTTTACTTGTCTAGTTAGAGGAGCAATTTTTAAAAATTAATTTTAATACGCTTTAGTATGGGGAATTTCAAACATACTCAAAAATAGAGCTGTATAGTGAAACCCTGCATACTCATCGCCCAGCGTCAACAAATGCCCTGAGGACCGCAACCTTGGTTCACCTACAGTTGC